CTTAGCTAATATTTTCAATTATCATGCATATTTTAGCATGTATCTGAGCTTCATTTCTTGTTATGTTCAAATAACCTTCCATTTTATGGGTATACCACATTTTGATTATCAGTTCATCTGTTGATGGGCACTTGGGTTGCTTCCATCTTTTGCCTGTTGCATATAGTGCTGCAGTGAACATTATTGTACAAGTATTTGTTTTAGTCCTGTTTTCAATTCTTCTGAGTATATATGTATATTTAGATATGGAATTACTGGGTCATGTAAGTTTTGAGGATTTGCCAGATTGTTTCCACAGCAGCTGTAATCATTTTACATTCCAACCCACAATGGTTTTGATTTCTTCACTTCCTCTCTAACACTTACACTTTTCCAAGTTTTTTTTTTTTTTGTAGTAGCCATCCTAGTGGATGAGAAGTGATATCTCATTTTGATTTTGATTTACATTTTCGTAATGGTTGTCTTTTTACATGCGTATCGGCTATTTGTGTTTTGTTTTTGAGAAATATCTTCAAGTCCTTTGCCCATTTTCCAGTTGCGTTGTTTTCCTTTTCATTGTTGTAGAAGTTCCTTATGTAGTCTGGATAGTAAACTCTTATCAGATGTATGTTTTTCAAGTATTTTCTCCCATTCCATAGTGTGTCTTCTCTTTTTTGATAAACTCTTGATTTACAGAATCTTCTGATTTTGACAAAGTTCAGTGTATCTGTTTTTTTCTTTTCTTGCTTGCACATAGATGTTATGTCTATGAATCCATTGTCTAAAACAAGGTCTTAAAACTTACCTTTATGTTGGAAGAAGACACCAAGAAAAAATTTTATGAGTTTGTGTTGCTGTTGTTAAGTGTTGTCAAGTCAGTTCTAACTCATAGGGTTTCCAAGGAACAGCTGGTGGGTTTGAATTGCAGACTTTGCAGTTAGCAGTACAATGTGTATCCTACAGTGCCACACCAGGATATGTTGTTTTTGTTAAGTACCATTGAGTCAGTTCTGATTTATAGAGACCCTATATAGGGTTTCTAAGGAACAACTGTTGGGCTTGAACCATCATCCTTGCAGTTAGCAGTGCAGTGTTTATTCTACAGTGCCACACCAGGGTTTAGCTCTTAATTTCAGGTCATTGCTCCATATTGAGTTAATTTTCAGATATAGTGTGAAGTATGGGTCCAACTTCATTGTTTGTTTGTGGGGATAAAATTGTCCTAGTACCAATTGTTAAAAAGACTAGTCTTTCTCCATTGAATGGATTTGGTTCCTTTGTTAAATTTCAGTTGTCTATAGATGTTTGGGTTTATGAAATCTCAATTCTGTCTCATTGTCTTTTTTTTTTTAATGTTTTATTGTGAATTATATGGTAGTTTACATGAGAGAACTTTAGTTTTACATTCATTCCATCATATATCATCTCATTGCCATGGTTCCAATCCCCTTCATGCATCATCAACCAACCAAAGGGGGTATATCCTAGAAGCCTGCCCCCTACACTTCCCCTCCTCTAGTTTTCTAAGGAGTGCAAGCCTCCATAATGTAATTGTTCACCTTGTAGGCCTGTGTTACTTGGTTAAAGGTAAAACCATGGGCATGGGTTCAATTCGAGGCTTGAAGGGTGACTAAGAGCAAGTCTGGGGTTTCCACCACTCTCTTATCAAAGCAGTAAGCCTGGTCCTTTATAGTACACTTTGAAATTGGAAATATGAATCCTACTGTCTCCTTCTTTAAATCAACTCTTTTGGCTATTTGTGGCCTCTTGCAATTCCATATGAACTTAAAGACTGCTGTTTCCATTTCTGGGGAAAAAAAATTTTTTTTGAATTTTGATAGAGATTCCATTGAATCTCTAGATTGCTTTTGATAGTATTGACATCTTAACAGCATTAAGTATTCGAATCCATATAAACAGGACACCTTTTTATTTAGGTTAATTTCTTTCGTAGTGTTTTATTATTAAATGGAATTGCTTTGTTAACTTGCTCTTCAGATCTTCCTTGATGATACATAGAGGCACAACTAATTTTTGTGTGTTGGTCTTGTACTGTGCAGCTTTGCTAAAATCATTAATTAGCTCTAAATGCTTTCTTGTGGAACTTTTGGGGCTTTCTCTATATAGGATTACATTATCTGTGACTAGAGATAGTTTTATTTCTTCTTTTTTGTTTGGATGTTTTAAATTTATTTTTCTTACTAGTTGCTCTGATTAGAACATTCAGTGATGGTAGCAAGCATTCTTGTCTTATTCCTGAACTTAATGGGGAAAGGAGAAAGCTCTCAGTCTTTCTTTACTGAGTATGATGTTGGTTGTGTGATTTTTTTATAAATGCCCTTTATCATCTTGAGGAATTTGTCTTCTATATCTCGATTGGTTTGTATTATGAAGCTGTGTTTAATTCTGGCCATTGACTTTTTGCATCTGTTAAGATGATCCTGTGGTTCTTTTCCTTAATTCTATCAATGTGGTAAATCACAATGATTAATTTTCTATGTTGAGCCTAACTTGCATTTTGGGGATCAATCTCATTTGGTCAGGTGTATATTCCTTTTAATTTACTGTTGGATTTGGTTCACTAGTATTTTGTTGAGGATTTTTGTATCTATATTTCTACGAGATATTGGTCTGTAGTTACTTTGTCTTGTTTTATCTCTAGGTAATATTTTAAGAATAGAAGTGAAGGAATTTGCAGATGGATTAAATGTGACGGGGGAAAGAGAACTAAGGATGACTGGCAGGATCTGTAGATTAGACAGGAAGAATGTTTTTTTGGGGAGAGGATCAAGGGTTTAAGATTTGAACATTTGAGAGAACTATATAAAATAATATGTTGTTGTTAAGTGCTGTCAAGGTGCTTCCAACTCATAGTGACCCCGTATAGGGTTGCCGAGGAGCGGCTGGTGCACTCGAACTGCCAACTTTGCGGTTCAGACCTACTTTGCAGTCCAGTGCATTAACCCATAACACCATACTAGGACTCCATAAAATAATAATAATATGTTGTTGTTAGGTGTCATCGAGTTGTTACCAACTCATAGCAACCTTATGCACAGCAGAATGAAACACTGCCTGATCCTGGGCCAACCTCACTATTGTTGACATGCTTGAGTCTATTGACGCTTCCACATGGCCAGTCCATCTCATTGGGGGTCTTCCTCTTTGTCTCTGACCCTCCACCTTACCAAACATGATACCTTCTC